GTTGCAGGAACTATAATCACTGCTTTTGAAGAGAAACAAGCCAGGGCACATGGCCTCATCAATGGCGGGGTGTACCTGGTAAACAGGGCATCCTTTCTGACCAGGCCTTTCCCGGAAAAATTTTCTTTTGAAAAAGATTACCTGGAAGCGTTTGTGAACCGGCAGCAATTCTCCGGTTATGCCTGCAATGGCTATTTTATTGATATCGGTGTGCCCGAAGATTACGACAAAGCACAAGAAGATTTTAAAGCACTATTCTAATGAAGATCGGTATTATTGGTCCGGCATGGCCCTTACGTGGCGGGCTGGCAGACTTTGATGAGCGTTTTGCCCGGGAACTACAAACCCTGGGGCATGAGGTGGTGCTCTACTCCTATGCCCTGCAATACCCATCCTTCCTCTTTCCCGGGAAAACCCAATATACCGATGCCCCTGCGCCACCCGACCTGCGCATCCATACTATTATCAATTCGGTGAATCCGCTGAACTGGCTGAGCGTGGGCAACCGCATTAAAAAAGACCGGCCCGATCTACTGGTGGTTCGCTACTGGCTGCCCTTTATGGGGCCTGCCCTGGGCACCATCCTCCGCCGTGTTAAAACGAATAAACATACCCGGGTGATCACCTTGGCAGACAATATCATGCCGCATGAAAAAAGGCCCGGCGACAGCCTGTTCACCAACTATTTTATCAAGCCGGTTGATGCCTTCGCAACCATGAGCGATGAGGTAATGGGCGATCTTAAAAAACTGACCCGTAAGCCAGCCATCAGGGTACATCATCCTCTATATGACAGCTATGGGCCGGCCATTGACCGGAACGAGGCTTTAAAAAAATTGCAGCTTCCTGCTGATAAAACGTATCTCATTTTCTTTGGCTTTATCCGCAAGTACAAAGGCCTTGACCTGTTGCTGGAAGCAATGGCCGATGAGCGGCTTAAACAAAAAGATATCCGCCTGATCGTTGCCGGTGAGTATTATGGCGATAAGGATTTTTATGAGCAGATCATTGCCAAACATCAGCTTCAAAACCGCGTACATCTGTTCACCGATTTCATTCCTAACCAGGAAGTGCCGGTCTACTTCAGCGCTGCAGACCTGGTGGTATTGCCTTACCGGAGTGCGACCAATAGCGGCATTACACAGGTGGCCTATTTCTTTGAAAAACCCATGATCGCTACCAATGTCGGCGGCCTGCCGGAAGCGGTGCCCGATGGTAAGGCCGGCCTGGTCTGCGCACCGGAGCCACAGGCGATTGCCAACTCCATCCTGGCCTTTTTACAGCCAGGGTCGTTGCCTGGGCTGCAACAATCTTTACAGGAAGAAAAGGAAAAGTATTCCTGGAAGAATTTCTCAGAAAAGCTGGTCTCCTTCTCCGCAACAATACAATAGATAGAATCGGTTTTCCGCAACCGGCGGCCATTATACGCCCGGGGAAAAATATATTATCCCTAACTTACTCTTTCTTAATTGATTGAATTTCATGTTGGTAAAAATATTCGGCAGCGCGGTCTACGGTGTTGAGGCAATGACGATCACGATGGAAGTGGACGCTTCCGGCGGT